AAATCCGCCGAAACGTCAGCTCATTTGTGAATAAAGAATAATAACACCTCGCGTTTGCTCAACAAAAATACGAAGAATATAACGTAAGATTTCACCGCTAAGAAGTGAGTCGCCATGATGACAGATGACGGCTGAGAGAGAGTAGACTGGACCGTCCGATGATTTGAATACGTACGGTGGCTCAGGCGCACGACATGGGGAAACCTCCTATAAATGGTCCCAATTACCAAAGAATACCACTACAGAAATGATAACTGATACCTTATTAAAGTCTCGCTCCTTACGCGAACGCAAGTTCCTCCTTATCTGAAAAAATTTCGTGGGCATCCTGAGAGATCAGAAAAAAATCAAAACTTAAAATAAAATGAGTCATCAGCAGAAACATGGAAATTTTCGGTCTCGACCTAAATGTAGCACAAACTCACAACATGGTCAATACCTATAGCCGGCTGGAAGTGGCATCCACTGGCATTAGAAATGAAGATCGCACCTTTGTCTTCATTACACTCATCCAGTTTCAACACTAAAAATGCTCGGATGCCAATCCGTATCGCATTTGTTATTTTTGATAGCCAATAAATACAAACAAACTAAATCGAAAAATAACCACTTACTAATTGGTGCATTACCACCCATGCCCCAGCGGAACAACGGTCTATATCTAAGCCATCTGCCTTCAAGAAATGTGTAGATGTTCGCCCCAAGAAAGCATGCAGCTGCAACCAACTCTACTTGTGTGCCCCACTCACCATCTTCGGACATCCTTCTAAAATTCATGGCCAAATTACATTATCGTTTAGAATATTGTTCAGATTGTTCGAAATACTACCACCAAAGCAAATCGTAAGAATAACACACTTTTGCCAAAAAATGAAAAGCAGCAGGAATGTGTTAAACACCGTTTTAAATCAACGAATTGAAATAGAACTTACAAAAGATGGATATCCATATCTTGTGGACTCTGGAGTAAACTAGCAAATATCGTTCTATACTGGTTTATGAAACAAACGAGCTGAAATGTGTGGGCGTGTTGTTTGTGTGAAATCACCAACAGGCGAACAGTAAAATATTTAACACAACGACTCAACCTTTTCCCGTAGGATGAAATGTTGGGTATCGTTTCCACCTGTAATCCACCAGCAAAGGGCACGAAACAAGCAATTTCCATCTCCTCGCACTTCGCAACATTGAGGAATGTCGCGGCCAGAAAATTCTACTTCATTCCCAAAGGTGTGCTTTCGAAGGCTAAACGAGATAATGAGACATAAGTGGACCAACTTGGTCCTTAACATTTCACATGTGACATTGGATTCTTTGGGAATTATCAATAATTCCGAGATTATATGTATAAAACAAAACGGATAAAACGCACTCTGGAGACCCTACATATCTCAAACCAAACCGCGAGCACCATTTTTTCTGACATTCCTCCTGAACTGGGCGAAAAATCAAGGTTATTTGTTCCTGAAAATTTTCGCTTCAAAGAAAACATTCCTACAATCCAAAATGATACTTAAGCATGAATAAAACACATTACAAATAACTTTGCACTTAACATAGAAAAAAGCTAAAATTTAGTACGGAGTACACCTCATTTTTGCTGATAACAGCAACATTATCCTGACTAGTACCAGGCCACGAATTAGTAGATTCAACAACTGATGCACGTAATGACGGTTTCAAAGGCTTCGTTACGTGGTCTGGGTGCATGTCACCACGACTGGGGGAAGAAAAGAGATCTTCTACGTTGATTACAGCCTACAACCGCAAATATTATTATATACTTCGAAAAAAAAGCACAACTGTGAACTCATGGAAGGATTTCCTATTACAAGAAATTAATAAGTGGAGAGCTAATAGAAAAGCCAGCACATAATGGATTAATTTTCACAAGTATAAGATATGCAACCAGATTTACCTTAGCATCAACACCATTATTTTCCAAACAAATTCGTTCTCTATCTCCTGTGTGTGTATTTTCTGGAACACGAGCGTCTAGCGCACAATACGCTCCATTTTCCGTTGAGCCATTTGCCTATAGAATCAGCGCTGCTTTAGTTGCATAAACGCCTATTATGCAAAAAAGGAAAAATAAACCAACATTTGTATCTTCATGCTCAGCGCATTCATGTGACCCGTCGACAATCCCAGATTTCTAAATTTACTCGCATTTTCAAGCACCAGGACGACTGTAAGATGGAACCCACCACAAAGAAACAAAAAAGTAACCGAACGAACAAACCTCTTCATATGAGTTTTCCTTCAAGTATCCGCCGGTTTGTTTAACTACGATATTATCCACTGCACTATACACGACATTTGAGAAAGGAAACTCAACGTTTTCTTTTTCCGGATGGGCAAGCTATAACTTAATCAAATGATGGAAGCAACGAAGAACACTGGTAAATAAAACGCTGATTAACCATTGCACATCTACCGTATAAATTTATTGACACACTCTTTCACGGCTTTCTTATCACTGTTTTCACCCAAAACAAAATAATTTATCAAAAGTGCAAAGTATGTTGTTTCAGTACGTTCAACGCCTTTTTTATTGAGAGAAAAAAACTGACAAAACAAACGGTACATAAACAAAATCTGAGTTATAGGTAAGAATTCCAGAATACTAGAATGTTTGAAAAGCTCAAATTTTCGTAGAGTTATAAAGGATTGAGTTTTCGGCCTCCACATCTTCGTTGAGCAGTCGGTCTTGTTTTCATTCCTACTTTCGTTTCTAATTTCGGTTAACTTCGTCTCCGAACCAACTAGTAGGAAGAGCGAGCGAAGGAATCATTGCCGAAAAGATAGTTCTCTCGGATCCACATCGTGGTGAAGAACTGGATTCGTTATTGCAACGCTAAGTCAGCATTTCAAAGAGGATCAAACCGCTCAGTCAGCAGTAGGCCAGACTCAGTACCCGGAACACTGGCTGCTCCCGTCTATGACGTCAGGCTGTGAGACAGGTGAGAGACTACAAAATCACGGACTACGTAAAACGTCACTGGAACCGGATCTAACGAATACACGCACGATATGAGATTCATTCATACTCTGCACATATTATGCCAGAACACTCTCCACAGACGCCGGCCTTCACACTTCTCTCGCCGCAAATTGCATAAAATTCCAAGTGATCGCACTACAAGAAACAAAAAATCAAGAAGACCGACATAAGCCAACTAAACGGAACCCTTGTCATCTGCGGAGAAAAGGTACCGTCACGAAATGTCGGAGGTATAGGCTTTGTCGTCTACCCGCCCTCTGTACAACCCGTCGAGTTGCAAGAGATCCCCATGGCCGTCCTCCATCTTCAGCAGAGGGTTCATAAAGAGATCATAATCATCAATTATTACTCACTGACCAATGCATCCGATGAGTACGAAATGCGTACTACTTCCACTTGGACGAAGTTACCAGCAATTATAAAGCGTATTATAAATCTGTTGTCAGGGACTTCAACGCCAGAATAGAAAAGGCCAGCCAGTGACAGCGAGTATAAGAACAGAAAAACTGGATCAGTAGGAATAAATAAAAATGGAAACGGTTTTGCAGGATTCCTGTTTGAAGCACGCTTCTTCCGCGTCGAATTGTTTTCCAGAAGAAAGCCGCCATCAGGCGTGGGAGTTTCGTAGCGGTACGACTCATACCGCTGAGATTGACTACATTCTGACAAACTGAAGATAGTGCCAACGCGACAGATCGGCAGTCCTACTATACCGTACAGAGTCCGAACACCGCTTTGTTTACGCGAAGATTCGACTCAGCTGTGATCTGGAGAAAAATTCATGTCATCGACCGAGAAGAAAAAGTCCAGCTGTGTATGATGAGAACACTACGAAATCCAACCAAAACATCACTGCCAGATAAAATAAGACCCAACCGAAAACTACGAACAGCTTGTTGAAGAACTTAAAAGTTGCGCTGAATTCGCCTCAATTCCTCAAGCAAGAAGATCTGACCGCAGCTCCAGAAAACTGGAGTCTGATGCTGCTGCATGTAACACGTTTAACAAGGTTAGTAACAAATGCTAGCAGCATAAGAGAAGTCTGTAGGAAAACCTATATCAGTACAGGCAGAACAACTGTCTACACCTTTGTATCATAAAGGAACTCTGTTCTATTGGTTCACCAAGTTTCAAACTCTGCAAATGCTCCATTTATCAAAACCATTATCTGCAGTTATCACAAAATGAGTAAACTCGCGAATGTTCTAAATCCTCTGCACTTCTAGGTGAACCACTTATTTTAATGTCACACGAACGATAAGTTAAGTTAATGATGCGAATGAATCTAACAACCACATATGGAACTTTCAGCATTGGTCAGCGGTTCAACCACAACATTAGCAATAAGCTTTTGGGAACTCTTTGATCCACGTAATGATTGTTTCATCTCACCCATGACGTGGAACTTTCTTGATTAGTAGAAAAATAAATAACTTGCAGAAAAGTGAGTAACTCTGGGAAAACCACAGTAAAAATTACCTCGCCAGCAATCTTTCCGCAAAGACGAGATGGAGACTCCAGAACGACGTCTTCCATGATGTTTGCTTTCGAAGAGGAGTCGAATAATTCCTGAAACTTAAAAACGTTGCATGTTAGAGAAGTAAGTTTCCCAATGATCGTAATAACCGGAGTTATCTACCAAAAAAGTTCCCCTAGGGAAACAGTGGAAGGATACTAGACATATAAAACTAATTTCCGTAAAATACAATGCGCTGTGAAAGCATAGACGTCTCATTTGCGCGTATCTCAACCCATGTACCGTTTTGATCTAGTAATGAGCATACAGGACGTTAAAAACCTTTGCTGTGGTTGAGGCAAAATTGGGAGTTCTCCTGCGTGCATTGAACTTTCCATTTTTGTCGTTTACCAGTTACAATGCTCGCTTTCTAAAATTTAACTGCTGAAGGAATCTAATGTGAAGCGGAGATCCAGTCATCCCTGTACGGTGATTACCGAACAAATCCGTAAACCTACAAAGAAGAGAATTACCAAAAATAACAGTGTGAGCTTCAGCGACACTGCTAAAAATTTTCGATGAAAAGTGCAAGGAATTCTTCAAAATCTTTTTCCATCTTCAAATCAATCGATCTCCAAGTTTGTCAGCTGGAAAATGGTTTGTGGTCAATTGACAGCATTTTTACCGTTAACGTCACTCACATTTTCACAATGACGGCAAACCGTTACTAAGTCAATGTTTCAATGTTTACTAAGTTTCACAAGGTAGTGATGGGAGGAATAACCGCAAATAAGAGAACCACTCTGGCTTTGAAGAATAAAGATTAACATGAACACCCAAGCCTATCAACATGAGACCTCGTCTCCCTTGTTACGGGACGTTATCTCGATAAGATTTCCTCTGGACTATTGAAAGATTAGGAGCTTAGCCAACTCGTAACAACGGATGTTTAAGATAAGAGCGATTCCCTCCTATGTGCCATCACGCTGTCAAAAATATCCCAGCACATTCTCAGTCTTATTACCTTCTCTGAGTATTGAGTTGCCATTGTACATTTCAGCTTGCTGTCCACGAACATCCATCGCTCAATCCAACCCCAGACAGTATAGATTTAGAAACACTACTAACCCTTTTCTCTCCAGCGAAAGCCACTTTATTCATTTTCAGTGGTGAAAGTGCTACACGTGAAGCTGGATTACTCAAGTCTATGGCACTGGAAGAAGGAGTAGTCGCCGTTTCAGCAAATGACGTAGATGTGTCACAGAAACACGCGCTACACATGTGCGAGTCTACCGTTGAGACTTCATGAATTGCTTGATCCTAAAAGAAAAGTTAAAACTTTCAAAACATCAGAAAAGCAAGCGGTAGAAAAGTACCGGTTCAAAGACATCAAGACTAGATTCACTGCCAACGTCAATATGACATTTCGTAGATGAACATTCTGCAGCTCCGTCATCATCATCTACATGACCATTTTGTCTCCGCTCACCGTTAAAAGACTCAGTAGACTGAGACAAACTAAACACACAAAGTGAGACGAATGGAAAAATCAAAATAAGTACGATGCTAAATATTTAAAGGAGTTACCTTCGCCTAGCTACTCCTTCTTGTTTTTTCACTTCAGAGTCCACATAAAGGTCTTTGAGAAAGAGCTCTCTGCTAACGTTTATTTTCTCTTCTACTTTGCTTCCACCAGCTTCGCCAAATCGATAGCGTTTCACGACGACAATAAGAGATCTAAAAAAGGTGTGGAAGGATCTAAACATTACTCCTCAGCAGAAGCGGTCAAGGCAGAGGTTGGACATGCCTAGCAATAGAAAACTGCTCACTGGTTTAAATGGACGGTTAACCGAAGGTCGAAGAGGAGTTAATGAAAGTTGTGTTATCTTTAACACGAACTTCTTCATGAATATCGAATTCCTTCATCAACGAAAGACCCTAATAGACGCTTATTATCAAAAATATATGGAACAATGCCGCCTTCCAACCTCATTCTTTCGAGACAACATCCACGAACGAAGAAGATGAAAATCGACGTGTTCTATACAAAAATCTGGGATCGATCAACTGATCTCCCCCATAGAGGGAACCCATCCCGGTTTGACGAGAGGCAACGTAGCGCAGTCTCAGGTAGAGAATAGGGGATTAATCACGGACCAAACGGGTCATGTACTTCCCTAAGACGCAGGTGTACATATGGCACGCACTCTGATTTTGCTGGACCGATGTGCAACACATCTTAGGTGTTTTTGACGACATATTCATGCATACCGGAGCGGGCTCGTTATTGTTTATGCGGATTGTATTCTACGAGTCAATTTCGCCGAAAGCTTGTAAATAAGTGTGATAGGAATGTATATGGGAGACGGTAGGAAGTCGCCTCCAACAAACAGGCTCCCTGTCTACTCTGCGACCGACTGGAAGACCACTCGTGACTATACCAAACCTCCACGTTAATAGCTCAGAGAGCTAATATGAGTACCAAACGCTAAACACAGTAAAGCAAGTGGGCTTCACTCTCTAGGCTACGAAAGAGCCCCGATGAATAGCAAGAGTACGGCGAGGCCGGCTAAGTCGCAAAGGAGTAAGGTGACGATCTGTACCTACACTGCGCGCACAATTGCATCCGAGTACTCGGTTGAGTACTTGACGATGCAAACAGTAAGGATAAAGTACGACGTCATTGGCCTAGTCAAGACGAGACGACGCCGTCCATTCAACGCCATCTATGACACCGGAGAAGAACTGTACCTCGGAACATGCGACAGTAGAGGAGTCGGTGGCGTCGGCGCTCTCGTCAACACGAGCTTGTCCATGAACATCGATTCATTTGAACAACTAATAGCACGAATCGCAAGTCCACGACTGAACTGAATGGACCGGGAAAAGTTCTACAGAGAAGACCATAGCTTCTTTTAGGTCATCATTGGAGATTTCAAGATTGGAGCCATAACTACGTCTGAAGGACACCACACTGTGATGCAGAGAAAAACGGAACGAGCAAACGAGCAGGGCGAATGGCTACCCAAATCTATCACGATGACGAGTACCACGTGGTAGCCCGCTATTCCATAAGTCCCACTGTCAACGCTGGGAGTGGCCATCTCTCAATAAAGATTACTAATAACAGAATAGACCACATCATTAAAAAACGGTGTTGCCTAACCGATGTCGTGGTTGTTCCAAAATTCTACACGCGATCAGACCATCACCTCCATCGTGCAACATTTCATTTCTCGCAGTACCTATCACCTGTAGTCCTGTTCATCGTCGAGTAACTCGAGCTGGCGCCAGCAAATCTTTCATTTTCCCCTGTTGCGAGCAAGAGTAGCCCAACTGGGTCCTGTTCGCCCTAGAAACTCGTCGAGCATATCTTTCTTCACGACTCTTTGTGAAGAACACTGACCATCGTGTCGTTGGTCTTCCTGCAGTACGCTTGACATCCCGAAGAATCCAGTCACTAACGGCTCCTGACCCTCGGATGCCATTCATACGGATTATGTGTCCGGCCCCACCCCTATCTTCGACTGTTTGGCGTACAGAACGGCATCATTGATTTTTGATCGTTGACGCAGATCGGAGTTTCGGATCCCATCTTTACTTGTGTGCAGCGAGATACAGGATACACAAAACATCGTCCTTTCGGCTGCGTGTTCGATAACGCTGTGACCTTTCATTCTGCTTACGCAGCGACCAGGTTTCTGACGCATACGTTAGGGCAGGAAGTACCGTTGAATCGAAAAGGTGGGCATGGACTCGGGTGTTCTTTGTTCTCTTCACAACTTCCTTTCTCTTCCTCGATACTCTTGAAAGCTCCCTAAGCCGCTCCTTTCCTTCAACTTAGCTCTGGAGCTAAATCGGTCATCATAGTGATTTCCCGACCTAGATAGACATAATTGGAACATTCGAAGATATTCGTTCCGTTGAGAGTAAATAGGGCATACGAAGCCAATCCCTTCTCTATGAAAATCGTTTTTGTGAGATTCAGTCGAAGACCAACCTTTCCACAGGCTTTACCAAAGTCAGCAAGCATATGTTCCGCTTGGCAAATGTTTGGTGTTATAAGGACGATGGCATCAACAAAACGAAAATGGTGTAACTGCCGAACATCGACTTTCAATCCCACATTATCCCATTCTAATGTTCGCATGACGTTCTGGAGAGTGGCGGTAAATAATTTTGGCGAGTCGGTAGCGCCTTGCCTAACTCCTCTTTTGACTGTTAATCGATGAAAGTGAGACAGAGCGGTTTTCTGTAGTCCCGCGATACTTCAGTGAGCCTTGTTATCGCGAGGATGTGGTCCATCGTACTCCTTTTCGAAAGCCTGTATGCTCACATGGCTGTCTTTCGTCCAGTGTTCTGTCATTCTTGTTTAGGATGACTCGAATGAAAAGTTTGTAGACGACAGATTGGGCATTAGTTGCCGATATCGTGTAGGTCACCCTTCTTGAACAATAACACGGTCTTGCTGGTCTTCCACTGAGTAGGAAACTTGCATTCAGACAGGTAACGTGTAAAGAGCCGAGCCAGTGTGTTCACGAGGACTCGCGAAAGGTTCATCAGGTTTTCAGACCTTATCCTAACCGGACATGGTCCTGCCGACGAAATGGCATGTTGGATTTTGGAAGAGAGAACCGGTGGTATAACATATCCATCCTTCTTTATTTCATATGACGGAAGGTGGGCGTGGCTATCGAAGAGATCCGAGTAGTATTCGTGAATGATCTCCATTGCCTTTCTGGACGCTGTAACTGTTCTGTCTGGTCGCCGAAGAGCAATCATCTTGGTCTTGTAATTGGCGAAGCTTTGGTAGGCTTTGCGAATGCTTTTCCCAGTCTCTGCAGCTTTGACCATTACTGCTGCTCTCCTCTCTTTAAGATCTTTTATCGTCTGTCTTCATTGTTTTGTAAGTTCGGACGCTAGATCGCGGTTGCCTGCAGCTCATGCGATTCCACGCTGGCGTGTCAGCTCGAGTGTTTCTGGAGACAAACGTTTCTTGGTGACTCTCGAACTCCAATTTTTCATAGCGCTAACGTGAAGATGCTGAATGAGCCGATCGTATTCTTCGTCAATGTTGTCGGCAACGGCATCTTCCCAGCAACAGACTAATGAACTGAATAAATCGCAGTTTATGAGGGTTCTAGGACTTCGATTTTTCAATTTAGCAGCTTTTCCTCTTTTCCACGAGAAAGAATCTTGTACGAAGGAGGTGGTGGTCAGATCCGTGTAGAATTTTTGGACAACAGCGACATCGGTTAGGTAAAACCTTTCGTTTACTATGAAGCGGACTACTTTGTTTTAGTACTCTCCACGAGGACACTCCCACGCTCAGCGTTGAGGGTGGGCCTTCTAGAATTGCTGCTTACAATGGATGGTCTTGGTCGCCCTGATAAACTCATACAGCCGCGTACCCCGTTCGGTCTATTCTAATCCATTGGTCCCAATGTGACGTTCTTCGTGGTCCAGTCTTGGCGTTGAGATCTCCAGTGGTGACCTTGAAGAATGTATAGTCCTCTGTAGAACTTCTCCAAGTCCATATAGAACGCTTCGACTTCTTCTTCGTCACAGTTTGATGTCGGCGCACAAAAGACGAAGATTATCAAAGCCGGGATTGATCTACGTCTTTTTAATCGTAAACGTCCCTTTGGGGTTGTTAATTGTTCGAATGAACCAGTGTTCATGGACAAACGCGTCTTGACGAGAACGCCGATGCCGCCTACTCCTCTACCATCACGTGTTCCGAGGAACAGTTCTTCTCCGGAGTCAAAGACGGCGTTGAAAGGCTGGCGTCTTCTCGTCTCGGCCAGGTCGATGACGTCGTATCTTATCTTTTTTGCTTGCATGAGCAAGTCCCCTATCGAGGACTCGGATGCAAGTGTACGTGCATTGTAGGTACCGATCGTCACCATAGTTCTTCGTGATCCAGGCAGCTTCCAATGGCCCTGAGCTTTTAGCAGCCTCTTCGTACTCGTCCTACCTAACGCTGCAAAATTGGGGGCTCCTTCGGGGTTAGGGGAATGAGGTCCGTTTTTTTTTACTGCGTAGCATTTTGAAACCCACGTATAGCTTGCTGGGCTCTGAACGTGGAGGATGGGTATACTCCCGGGTACCTTGCCAGGCTCTCCCAGAGTGGACATGGAGCTTATTTGTTGGAGGCGACTCCTAACCACCTCCCATACACCTCCTTGTCACTTGATTGTAGACTTTTGGCCGAATTGACTCGTAGAATACAATCCACATAAACTAGAATGCCCCCACAAACGCGTGCATGAATACACCTCGTAAATACAGAAAGCATGTGCCAAATCGGCGCAACAGAAAGAGGGAGTTCATCCCCTGGATCCACCTGCGTCTCAGAGAAGCAAAGCTCGCTTCTGGTTCGCGATTAACCCCCTATCCGCCACCTGGGGACGCGCCACGTAGCCTTGCGACTAACCGGCTGGAGATCCCTTACATGAGGGAAATCCGTGGCATTTCTCGCAGAGAGAAGAAAAACCCGCTAAATTCAATTCGAAAACAACCATACACTGAGACTTACTCAAATTCACTACTCGGGTGTTGGGAAGATGCCGTTCTCGACAACATCGACGAAAAACACGATCGGCTCATTTAATATCTTCACGTTAGCGCTATGAAAGCTGAGACTTCGAAAGTAACCAAGAGACATCTGTCTCCAGAAAACTCGAGCTCATAAGCAAGAGTGGAATGGCAAGAGCTACAGGCAACCGCCAACTCACTTTCGAACACCCAAAACAATGCAGTTATGCGATATAAGAAGATCTTAAAGAGAAAACATGAGCAGTTATGTAACAATACTCGCTGAAGCATCGCGAGAGTACAACAGACCGCTCTGTATCACTTTCCTCGATTTAAAGAAACTTTTGTATCACTTGTGTTAGAAGCAGTCATAGAATCCTTGTACAGTCAGAGAGCCCCTACTCAGTGTACAAAGATTCTTTGTGAGCTATATAAAAATCTCACAACCAAAATATCACCTTTCCACAACGATATTAACATCGACGCCAAAAGAAAGATTGAACAAGGCGATACCGTCTCTTCAAATTATTTACCGCTACCTTCGAGAACGTGCACATGTGGCCATTGGAATGGGACAACATGGCAGTGGAAATCGATGGTCGGCAATACACCACCTTTGCCTCGCTGATGACATCGTTCTTATAAGACCAAACGTTAGCCAAGTGGAACGAATGCTTGCCGACTTCGATAAAACCTGTGGAAAAATTGGTCTTCGACTAAATCTCACAAAAACGATGTTCATGAGGAACGGATTCATTACGTATGCCCAATTTACACTCAACGGAATGAACACCTCCGAATGCTCCAGTCACGTCTATCTAGGCTGAGAAATCAACATGATGAACGATTTAGTTCCGGAGTTGAGCAGAAGGAAACGAGCGGCTTGGGGAGCTTTTAAGAGCATTGAGAATCTAGTGAAGAGAACAAAGAACACCCGTGTCCACCCTTTCGACTCTACGGTACTCCTTGCCTTAACGTATGCGTCAGAAACCTGGTCGCTGCGTAAGCAGGATGAAAGTCCACTCAGCGTTGCTGATGACGCAGTCCAAAGGACGATGTTAGTAGCCTTACGTATCGCGCAAGTGAGGGCAGAGATCCGAAATATCTATCTTCGTCGACGATCACAAATTAAAGACGACGTTCTATACAAACTTTCGAAAATAATATGGACCGTACACGCACTGTATATGAACGACAAACGAGTCGCTAATAAGTGGATTAATTGGGATGTCAAACGTACTGAGGAACACTACTGACCCGATGGTCAGAGCTCTTCATGTAAAGCCTAGGAAAGGTGTGATGTTCAACGCATTCTTGGAGTGAGCAAGATCCACTTGGCTACTCTTACACGCAAAAGGGAAATCTGGAGAATTTACAGGCACCTGCTCATGTCACTCGACAATCAACGGGATGACAGGTGATACAGGTGATCTTGGGTCGATTACAGGTAAGATCAAACTTCGAATCACCACCTCCTTTCCGAAAGATCTCTCTTTTATCAAAACAAACGAAAATTAAAAAAACAAAAACAAAAGTAAATTTGAATGCTATATAAATCGAAGCCTTTCGTCTTCCCCCAATGTCAAATCTGTGAAAAGTGTAACAATTCATTCAACACTATGGTTTGAAAAAAGCAGGGGTTTGAACTCATTAATACACATTAAGGGATGTCTCTTTAGAAATTCGAGCTGACACGTAAATGTGCGAAATCATGAACTCCAGGAAACTGTTAATCTCTTATAAGTTTGCAACACTCTCCACAGGAGCGGTAAAAGACTTGTAAGAGGAACAAAAAGCCATAAAAGTTACGAAATACAAGCAGAACCAGTCCGAACCCCACCAATTAAAGAATTATTGAGTCTCCTGCTTCAATACGGAATGGCCATTACACCCGAACGGTAATCGGTGAAGTCACCAGCGAATTTTATTCTCCGATTGAGATACCTAGTAGATGTCATTATCACAGCTCTCTTCATATATTTTGTCGGTGAAGAATCTTACACGATTCGGCTCCATAAAACACGAATATCTGAAGAATCTACCGCCAGACTTCAACATACTAACTTAACATTCCACGCGCTCTCTCTCAGAATACGTTATTCCCATTTAGTGAAAAAGAAGATTGCGTTATTCTATAAGATGCGAGACTAAGCAACACTGTCCACTATTGTCATTCTGCACGCAGTTTGCTTCTTCACTTACATCATCCTGAACAAAACTTGCAGAAAATTGAACGAAACGCAGCTATAAGAGTACCTAGAGTTTAGAAAATATACAAAGGATGGTCCACACTGACACAGTTGATAAACACGCTAAGGTAATGCCAAAATTTATAGTGGGTATAAATCCCTTCGTAAGCAACCTGAACCTCAGGTTTCTCTAACATTCGCCACGACGCCTAATTTAGGTTTTATAGCGGAACGGACCAGTTGTAAATTTTTACTGTGCTCAGTGTAACATCCATGGATGTTATATCGACCACTCAGGCAATTTCTATGTTGCCCCGCTCCATTTTATTGTGATCCCCGTTCTACAAATCGGTTTTCCTCTGTTTTGAAAGCATTTCTGATATCTTATACATATATATGGTTCTGGCACATGTACAACTCCTGT